TAAAAGAATTAACTTACCATTAAAATTTATAACTACTTTATTAGATTTCTCTTTTAGATAAAAGTATCATAAAATCATTAATTATTTGCAATAGACGATTATAAAATTTTAAAGATATTATTTTAGATTAAATTAAAATTAGTAACTTAACAATATGTAAATATTATGCAAAAATTTTGGAACATACAAAGTAATTCTCATACGTTACCGAGCATATAGTTTTCATTAGTATGTGCTACAGAGAATATTTATACATTTTTTAAACCATTCCGTTTAAAATGCAAAGCGCATTTTTTTAAATGTGCAGATCTGATAGCCTTTTTTCTAGACTATAAGTTTGCATCGTTATTTCCACGATTGAAGACCTTTCCATTAAATCTCCAGCAATACTGATCCCTCTTCCATTACGTTCTAGTCTATTAATCGGGTTGGTTAGCACTTAGAAGGTGCTCTTTTCAAGAGACTTAAAGGCACAAATTCCATGGGTGAAGCGCGTCAGAGGACTTCACTGGAATACGTTGAAAGGCTATATATGCAATACCTATATCAGTTTTCATTTTTTCAATAAATGCAGGGGTAATTTTCAAAGTATGACTTGTTGTTTTGTTCTGATGAAGTTCCAGACTTTGAAAATCGTTGGAAGGAAGGAGTGAAATTTCTTCTCTAAATATCGGATGTAAAACATTCTTTTTGATATCCACCTTGAGTTGATTTTTAACAGATTTTCCACTTTTGTTATTTTAAATTTCCCACTGTATGAGAATCCTGGCGCAATCATAAACCCTTTGCTGAAACTTTCTTTACATTGACGAAACCAGGTTATACACTGCGAAAAAAAAAATGTGTCAGTTCTTTATCTCCCATTCTACTGGGCCGATTGACAAAATTCAAATTGAGTTTTTCCTGTCTCGAAAGCGCGACTTAGGATATAATTAGATTTATATATAGCATTATTCTAGCATATGTATTTCGACATAAAATCGTACTTTTTCTTAAATAACATAGCGATTTTTTTCCATATTTCAATTCTACGACTCAAATTATGCCTAGATATTAAAATTTGGTGCTAAATTTACGGAGAAATTAAAAACTTATCGTGGCGAAATTTTTTCAGTTTGGCCAAGAATAATTCAATTGGCGAACTTCTTAATATATAGCAACCAATTTTCCTTTCCCTTCCATTATGCTTGAGCGGGAAAAAAAAGACACCTCGTTCCTATCTTTTTACATTGTGCATGAGCGGAAAAAGTCACATTTTCTACTTCCAAATAATTTTAGCAAAGTGTTTAAACCACATCTGATGTTTTATTGCTTTCAACAAATATATAAATTTCAAAACGCGCCAATATACAAATTTAAGCATATCTTAGGAAATTTTGAATAAAAAGACTCTAATGTTTTGCAGGTATGCTTAGAAATACGTCTACTTTGAGATGATGGTAAAAGTTTATAGATTACAATTCAAACTTTTTTCGAAAAATTTATAAAATTATTTTAAAATACAAATTTTTAAAATAAATCATAAAAAATGGGTGAATTTTATTTGGAATGAACTTGAATTTCGAAATGTGAAAGGAAGAATCAAATAAGCTTAACAACAAAAAAAAAAAAAAAAAAATTTAATAAATATATCCCAAACTCAATTAACATTGAGGAGCTAAACTTTTGAGAGCTAATTTTTTAAAAACTACACGTGCGATTTTTCTAAAACTTGGTAGTTTGGCGTAATTTGAGTCGTAGAATTGATATATGGAAAAACATTGGCATGTTATTTCAGATTTTGTGTCAAAATACCTATATTAGAACAATGCTGTATGTAAATCTAATACATATCCTAAGTTGCGCTTTCGAGACATGAAAAACGCATTTTCGTCAATCGGCCCAGTAGAACGGGAGATATAGAACTGTCGTCCTTCCCCCCCCCGCAGTGTACATTTTCCCTCTTTGTTTTAGACCTTTCCTTGACATTTTGATAAATAGATCTTTCTTGTTGCAGTTATTTAGGTAAACCCATGCTTTATTAAAGGTCGTAAAGCATTTTTTTTTTATTATCCTGCTAAATAGTTTTCATCAAGGTTCTAGAAATTGCTCTACATTGAGACACATTGCCAATACACATATGCGTCGGCAAAAGCTGGTGAACACTCTGTTTTAAGCTTTTTCAAGTTATAATTATTGGTTTATTATTTTATTTATTGTTGCTGCAGATGTATTGAAAGAATTTGCAACTGATTTCTGCATCGGCGGATTTTTTTTAATTAGCAATGTTTTAACTTAAGAAATATTAGAAACCTTTTATTGGCTATTCGTCTGGAGTCTTCTAATGATTGACGGCTTTTCCCTTTCCGATTAATAATGTTGTTTATTTTTGCCCTTAGAATTTTAATACCATGCATTTTACAAAGTTTTTGAATTATGTAATGAGAATATTTTTCTTCGAAATGCGAAAAACTATTATCCTTCAATTCATAACTTGTTTACATGCGACATTTTAAAAGAAGAATAAATTTAAAAGTATCAACATATATTTCTTATTCAAAATAAGCTATTGTCAGAAATTTTAATTAAAAACATCTGCTTTTTTCTAATTCTGTGTCGAAATCTTTCCAAAAACATATAAACTGTTTGTGTATTAGTATAAGTAAAAGCAGAGAAAAAATTATGTAAAATTAATTAAATATATTACTTATGAGTTTTATGAAATGTAATACGATTCTATATGGAATTTAATGATATTTTTGCATATAAGACTCAGTTACAATTTGGGTAATCAAACTGTAGCTAAATCTTATCATAATTTCTTAAAAGTAAATTAAAAATGAAATTCATATATTAATGAACTAACTATGAACTACATTTTTATAACTTTTCTTATGTGCCATAAATTTAAAAGCATTAGAAGAGTTACACAATCAAATTTGGTGCTGCGCAGTATCACATTAATGAATAACGGGATGCAGCTAATTACCGAATTAACGGAGTAATATCAAGCCTCATGTCAGCATATATTAAAAAACACATTTAACCTTAAGAGCAGTTTAAAAAATAAAAAAATTACACTTATTATAAGATAAGAAAATTTCTATTAACAGTTTACTTATATTTTCAATCAGTTTAACTTAGAGAATAACTTCATTTGGTTGCAACTGCATCTCCATCCGTACTAAGTTAGTGGACTTTAGAAAGGTTTTTATAGCGAAATAAAACGGAAAAGACTTTGGACATCTTTGTATTAAGTAAATAATAGCACTTGGAGTAAAAAGAAGAAACCGTAAATACCGAAGAATCAATAAATCTTGTTTTTTGCTTACATTATTCTTTTACTTAGCCAACGCGAAATAGAATATAATTGGTAGTTTGCTTAATTTATTTTAATGACTAAAAATTGTCTTTTAATGAGTGATTTAACAGTATTTTTGCATTCCAGATTATGTGAGATTAAATTATTTACTATTATAGGAATGATTTACTAGTCGAATGCAGATCGAAACTACCAGTAGTCAGCGACTTTACCACTCGGCCTGTGGTGGGCCTATTATTGTAGAAGAATATTAGAAATACAAATCTCTCAAATTAACTAAATGGATAGAAATTTACAATTTTTGTTATTTTAAAAGAAAAGTGTAAAGAAGGTGAAGCTTGAAAAGTACAATAGAAGAGGTAAACTTTAAAATAAGAGATAACTAAACATGCGTAAAACGCATGGGTGCTCAAAATAAATATGTAATCCGTACCCTACGTTTCTTTTAAATACGTGTAACATATTCGTGTATAGTGATAAAAATACCGTATTTTGTCGCAATCTTTCGTCGCGTATTTTTCTCTCTAGCTTTATAGCCCCTGATTCTGAAAATTTTAAATATATTTGCGTAATTTTCTCCTTCCTCAAGGCGTTCAGATTTTTTTTTCCAGATTCAGACAATTTTCAATAACTCCTAAACTTTAAAAATTATTCGTCCACGTAGTGACTATTTTAGTTTTACTAACAAAGACAAACCTTTCCAAATTACCTCTGAAGGTCAAGCCGAAACTTTCCCTTCTAACTCTTGAACTTTAGACCAGTCTAATAGAAGAAACGACACATCATCGCGAAGCAAACACAAACTAACATTTAGTCTTGATTTTCTGAATGAGCTCCACTTTCACCTTCTCTAATTATTTATGCATAATTTGAGGCCTAAGGAGTAACAGAGACAACAATAAAAATGGGGAAAATTCAAGTAACAGGAAGGTAAAAATGAAGGTATCTTAATTGATACTGTGATATTAATATTACTATATATATTATTACAATGTAGGTTTCATTTAAAGACATAATTTTGTGATAGTTATCTATTGTTTATCCATGTCTACTTTTCATTTGCTATGTCCTTATTGTAATCGCGTCTTTCGGAAATTAAATTACTCACAAAATATTCCCTTCTCGATTTTCTGATAATAAAATTAAGAAAGGGGGCGGATAAGCGAAGAATTAAAATAAATATATTTCATTTATGTGGTAATTTGAAAGCTACTTTTCACGGAAATCGAGAGAAACAAAAAAAAAATATGCAAAGAATATTGCTAGAAAATGACATAGAGAAATATGAATGAAAGAGAAAGGAGGATAGAATTTCAAGTATGTGTCGTAACTACTATTTCGGAACAGAGGCAAAACTTTTATTTCTTCTTCCGCGAAAAAAAATTAAAAAGTAGAAAATAAAGTAGAAAAAAGCATTACGTAATCGCTGAAAATACAATACAGTGGAAAGGAGAATGGTGAAATGGTGATGTTTGCATAAAATGGAAAAAACTCTTTGTTGAAAATCTTGACTTTATACGTTATCAAAAAATTAAACAAACGAGACCATCCTAAACCGGTCAATCCATAAAATTACGACAATCATTTTCAGTGCCAAACAAAGACGAAAATATGCCTACAAAAGACATAATGTTGGATCGTAAAATGTGACGTAGATGTAGTTGAAGTATAACAAGATATTTTCAAAGATTTACCTGCCTATTTAATCGAGATGAGTTGTTCGATAAAGAGGACTATTTTCTACTACAGTGCTGTATAAAACAGATCTAATTTAAAATTTGGATTTCTTTTTAATGCAGTTCTACTTTAGCATTATGGGTTAGGCTGCAACATTATTTCCTCATTTCTAGAAACCTTTGCTAATCTGAGTACGTACATTTAACAGCCTGGAAAGTTCTTTCAAATAATGTAAGTAAGTTTCGAAATCAGCCCAATCTTTTATAATCATTCTCATAAAATGAATACTTTAAAATAACTGATGAAACGTTTGAAACATTTTTAAAAAAATAAAATGTTTTTCTTCGTCAGTTTCGGAGCTATTTATGGCTTTTATTAATAATTATTAGAATGACTATAAAAAGTTTCTTCGATTAAATTTACACAAAAAGAACTATTTAAAAGGGCTCATGGTGTCAAAAGTGTTACATTTTAAACTAATATAAACTTAGTTATATAAAAAAAAAGAATGTTAAATGACGTATAATTAATTCAAATATTTTTCTGCTTAATTAATGTTGTAAAGGAACACCTTATTTCAAATTATAAGCCCAGTTTCTTAAAATGATTTTTTTGGTCCAATGTATCCAAAATAATAATTTTTATAGAATAGAAAACTTTTTCCAAATTCAAAGGAGCATTTTAAGTATAATATAACGTTTCTAGTTTGTAGCTTTTATATTAGTATGTAATCCTAAATGAAAAGATATTTTTGGTTTGTCTCTACCTTCGAAAATGTGCTAGTAATGTTTATCAGTCAAAACGCATTTTAAGAACATTTCCGAGGACTTTGATAGATTTTATTCTATGTTATATATTAAAAGATACATAATTCCCTTATTATTTATATTTTGAATAATTTCATGATTTCCAGTTAAAACTTTGTGGGCCTTTATTAAACTGTGCATGAAAAAAGTATCGTCCCCGAAAAAAAAAAAGCACTTTAAGTCATGTAATATACACACCAACACAAACTACATGTAATTATATAGTAATATAAGATTTTTTTTTTTTTCGAAGAGGTACAGAAATGACACAAACTACTTTTGGTGCAGTAAAGAGCAGTTTAAATTCTAACAATTTCTAAAGCACAGGGAATTTAAATTCAGATATTTCAAATTCTTAATTTTAACTGATTTTCCGCTAGATATGTTATTTATTTAGTCTAGTTCTAGTATATGATAAACTGAAATCACTGCAATAGGTTTCTTTCTCTTACTTTTTTTTTTTTTTTTTGTTGTTGTTTTGTTTATTTTAGCCAATAAAGAAGAAAGTTTTGTGTTTAAAATATGCTGTTTAAAACACTTGAATATTATAGCTTTCTTTGTTATTATTTTAATTATGTAAAAATGTTCGTTTGAAAATTATTAAGTGGATATTTTTAAAATAGAATTTTGTTTTGAATTAGTATGCATTAAACAGCAGAATGTTAATCGTGTAAATGGATACGTCAAATAAATTAAGTCCAAAAATGGATAAAATTTAGCAACAGGAATCGAAGTAATGCGAAGAAAATACATATTTTTAAAAAAACCCATTTCGAAATGGTAGTTTCTTTAAGGAAAAATTACTCCTAGACTTCTAAAATTGTAAGCACGTGTTGAAGAATTTTCATACAATCCGCGAATTCTTATTGCTAAATTTTATTCTATTAAAAAACTATGATTTGCTCTAAATTTAAAATATTAATTTTATGTTCTTATTTCAGATTTTATTTAAATTTAAAATTTATATACTAAGGAAAATTAATGAAATATTCTCTTAAAGTTCAGATGTTGCACAAGAGTCTTTCAAAAATAAGGAAATATTTCTTTAAAAAGATATTTTACTTACTTGCGTTAATAAAAGCAGAAAAATAATGGTTTAAAGCATGTAAAAAATAATCGTTTTCGTTAACATTTAAAATGATAAAAGTTACTTTTAAAAGGACATCAGCATTCATCTTTTTAAAGTCAAACATAATGAAATTTTATCACATTTGCACAAAAACGATTATTTTTATTACTATATGTCAAAGTGCTCATTAAAGAATTCGAAAACTTTCCTTTTTTGGAAAAATTAAATTTCCTTCTGTTTGTTTAATTTTCTGGTAAAGATTTCATTATTGGCTGCAAAAAAGATCTACTTTCTTTAAAATACGTAGCATTTTCTTCCCTTGGCAGCTGTATTTTATGAGTGTTAATAAAATGATAATGTTGTTTGTTAGAAAGAGCATTTTTATAGAAAGTTATTAAAATTTCACGACATAACATACTTAACTCCAGCACATATTTTTCCCTGCTATAAAATATACTTTTATTTCAATGCAAAAGAAATTTACTAACAATCATTTTATTTCCCTATCTGCATACGTTTCTTTTTTTTACTTTCATTCCATAAGCAGCTTTAATAGTTATGTAACGATGCTAAAACAACGTAATTTCAAACGATGAATTTTAGATATGGTTAAAATGTTTCATACATTAAATTTTAGAGTTCCTGATTAAAAAGTTTAACAAAGATATATAACTAGTATATGATAAAATCAAATTTTAACCGTTAGTATAACAGCAATAATGATCACTTAATCTATATGAAAGGAATCACGCTACAGTAGATGCCGTTTAATGAAATGCAATTAATGTTATCATTCAAATATTGCTATCGAATTTCCGAAGTCCCATTCGTTTGTATACGAAAACATGGAAAATACATCGCTTATTGTGAACAACAGTTCGGTTGATATGAATCAAGCTATTATAGAACATCTTTTTTAAATCGCCAAATAAGCTTAAACTAGATTATAAAAATTACGAAGTGCCAGAGAAATGTCGCCAAGTGAGTGTTAACTCACTGAACAGCTTGGTTTCGATTTAGTCAACCATTTAAAATTAGGTACGTAGATTTTGAATAACTTTGTCGGATTTGAGGGTGATCAGACAAAAACCTTTCTTCTTCAAGAGCAGAACAAAATTCTCTGAAAACAACTACGACAGACTAGGGCTACTTTTTGTTTACACTTGCATGCTCATTTTCCAGTGAGGTTGCCTTCCAAATATATCTATCCTTCGATTTACACGGTACTCGTTTTACTCGGTTTAAAATTAACAGATTTCAAAAACTTTATAAAAATGTATATTTCGCTGCATATACGCAAATACATACATTTGAATCTCATTCCTTTGGTAACACTGGTGGCAACAACAAGGATAGGGGTTCCTCGTGTTGTAAAAGAGGAAACCCCGTAGTAATGTACATGTATTTTATAAAAGTAAATCTGTTTGGTTCATGTGAACTAGTGCAGAATTAGTATTTTAGCAGCAAAGCTTACAGCATTTTTATCTACATATTTGAATGTTTATTAAGGTTTCAACATTTGTAACTTTTGTGACATTTTTATAATAAATGTAAATTTTTTAAAGTTTTATAATGTCAAAAGATTTGAAAAAAAAATCAAATAAAAAGAAAATTTATTTCTTTAGAAAAAAATTAAAATAATAGATCGTCTACTTAATAGAAAAAGGGTAACAGATGTTGCTAAATTTTACTCCATGAATGAAGCTACAATAAGGATAATTAGAAAAAAATGAAGACTCTATTAGAAAAAGTGTAGCAACTGGAACTTGTAGTAGTAAGAGCACAATTTCATATGTAAGAGATGATACAATAGAAAATATGGAAAAGGCATTAGTGACATGGATACAAATCCAAAATAAAAAACGGATTCCAGTTGATATTAATGCTGTTACAAATAAGGCCTTAAAGATTTATAAAGCATTAAGAATAAGTCACCGTCGAGTTCATCAGATGAAAAAAAGTATCTTTTTCCGCAAGTCGTGCTTTTTTCGAGAGATTTAAACATTCTTTACATAATCTAAGATTAAAAGAAGAAAGTGCATCCGCCGATTCGAATGCTGTACAATATCCAACAAAATTTGCTTAAATCATTGCCGCCAACTCCTACACTTCTGATCAGATTTTCAGAGCTGATGAGTCCGGATTCTTGTAGAAAAAAATGCCTGAAAGAAGCTATTTAGCTAAAGCTTGCAAATCAGCTAGTGGTCATAAGGTAGCGAAAAGTTGTGTAACAATTATTTTCTATTGCAACACTTCAGGCGATTGTATAATGAAACCATTGGTTATTATGAAATCAAAAACACCATGCTCATTTAAAGGAATAAACATAAATAACTTTCCCATTTATTGGATGGCTAATAAGAAAGCATGGGTGACTGCCATGGCTTTCAATGAATGATTTCAAAACATGTTTATCCCAGATGTCAAAAGTTATTTAAGTAAAAAGGGATTGCCTTTTGAGGTTCTTCTGTTAACTGATAATGCACATGGTCATCCTCAAGATTTACAACACTAAAATGTAGAAGTAGTCTTTCTACCAAAGAATACAACTTCCTTATTACAGCCATTAGATCAAGGAATAATTTCGACTTTTAAGACACTGCATATCAAACAAACTTTCAGGTATATTTTAAAACAAATGGCGAATGATGAATCTCTTACTCTTATGGATGCTTGGAAGAAATTTACAATCTTAGATTGTGTTGAACTGTCATATACTCAGATTAAACAATCAACGCTCAACTCATGCTGGAAAGCAATATGGCCGGAAGCTGCTAAAGATAAGAATGTTAGATTACCATTAAATCATGAATATTCTCAGATCACTAATCTGGCCTAAACTATAGAAGGAGAAGGTTTTGAGGATGTAGCTCAGGCAGATATTGAAGAAATAATGGCTGATGAAGAACTAAATAAAGATGAGTTAGTTAATATGATTCATGAAACGAATAAATATGATGAAGACAATGATTCTGACGAAGAGCAATCTGAACCAGTGGCGTTCACAGCAAGAGTCATCAGCGTATGGCTTGAATTGCGAAGAAAAATTAGGTAATCATTTTTTACAATAGGACAGGAATGTTGAACGATCTCTCCGATTTCAAAGGGTGCTTAGTTAAGTGATTAAACCAGTATGAGGATGTTTACAAAGATTTAGCAAAAACCTGTGCAATTGTCAATTACGAATTTCACTACAAAATCTTGTCGATCTGAGATCTTCCCTAATTCGTCAACCGTTAAAGGAGAAACTTATTTAGAATGCTCAAGTAATGAAAGGGACATCATACCGATTAAGAAGAAAAGACTAATACTTCATGAAAGTGATGACAGTTATTAAACTTATAATATTTTTTGAATGAT